TTAATATGCGTAACGGCGTTTATGGGATTGCTGGGCTTCATTGTACTAACTTTAACAAACATCCACTGCCCCTTTTTAAATTATTAATATTATAAATGCGAAAGTTTATATGGATGTTTGTTAGTTTGTAGACTAAACGATAGATCGGATTTCGATGATATTTGGTTATAGCTAGACTATAGGCTAGACACTTTTTTAATCCCACGCGGATGGAGTCGCGGACGAACATAGTATGTTACATAAAGTTTTGCTCATTTTTTTTACATCTTTCTGTTTGTGACAACCTAGCAGATTATCCTTGGGCAGTTATTTATTTATACGTTACTAGCTGTTGCTCCCGACTTTGTCCGCGTGAAATTAAAAAATATTGAAAAACAAAGCCTATGTTACAGATGAATTATCTTTCTAACGGTGAAAGAATTTTTGAAAATCAGTCCAGTAATTTTTGAGTTATTTCAATAAATACAAAAATACAAATCTATCCTCTTTATAGTAAATATATTGAAAGAGCGAAGTTTTACCTGATATATCATAAGTGGTTCTCCTTCCATACGTAATAATAATAATACTCTCGTGGCTTTATGTCCTAAGCCCACAATAAGCATTTCCTTTAACTTATCGACTGCTGCGTTACGGTTTCCTGTCGAGAATTCATCCTCGTCCATTGAACTGGTCGCTATCGGCACTGATTCCAAACTATCCGCTAATATCTATAAAGAAATTATATTATTAATATAATAAACGAGCTGTTGCCCGCGACTTTGTCCGCGTGGTATTAGAAAACATACAAACTATAAAAATAACAAAAAGCTACGTATCCCTCGGGAACCGGACATTTCTCTGGGATGAACCTTATCCCATGTGTACTCCAGACTTTGTTTTATATCTGTGCCAAATTTCAATAAGATATGTTGCACCGATGCAGAATGATCGAGTGAACATTAAAAAACTAAATGAATCCCTCCGGAACCATAACTATTCCCGGGATAAAAAGTAGCCTATGTGTTCTTCCAGACTATGCTCTAAACCTGTGCCAAATTTCATAGAGATCCGTTCAGCCGTTTAGGCTACAAACGCTAACAAACATCCATCCATCTAAACTTTCGCATTTATAATATTAGTAAGAAGTAAGATAAGAAAGTTTAGATGGATGTTTGTTAGAGTTTGTAGCCTAAACGGCCGAATGGATCTGGATGAAATTGGGCATAGATGTAGAATATAGTTTGGAAAAATACATAGGACGGATACGGTTACGGTAATTATTATCCAATAGCAAAGGTTGTAATTTTTGCATTTGAATTTTGCTATTTATAGTTTAACAAATATAAACAATTATTAATTTCAATAGTAATAATCAAACAAAGCCTATGTTATTATATAACCTTTCTAATAGTGAAAGAATTTTTAAAATCGGACCAGTAGCTTTTGTGTGAATGAAATACGTACAAAAATACAAATTTATAATTGAATACAGATCATGCTGGTAACATTTAATGTTTGATGTCGTGTTTGGCGAATGTTTGAAGGAAGTTTGAAGATGTTTGAAGTAGTTTGAAGAACGAAAGATCAGTTTAGATTTTGCCCGGTGCATGATTGATAATGTTTGAAGGTGTTTGATGATGTTTGAGGTGAGGGTTACCCTGTGGCCCGCGCAGACGTCCCTGACGAGGAAGCAGAGCCGCATCTCGGGCAGCGAGTAGAGCTCCAGGTTGCCGTTGTCG